CATACCATATTCACATATGTTTAGGCGGTAGAGTTTAGAGGAGGTCCCAAGCTATCCGGAAATTAAGCAATTACCCATTATCCCGTCAATCACTGCGGAAGAATTGACTAATAATGACAATGACTTGCTGTTGAAGAAAAAAATTATGATAACAAGAAGACCTGCCTGCCAGGCACGTTTTGCAGAAAGAGTTCAAGTCAAATTGATCAACCAAATTGAAAATTAACAAGACTCAACAGACACGTAAAGGAAAATGAGTAGATTAATAGCATGTGTACGAGCCCCTTGCCAGTAAATTAACCTTTGATTTATATGAAATCCGTCATATTGTATAAATATCCGTCATATTGATAAAAAAGGGGCTTTTGATGAGCTTAGTTCACACGTGTGCCACGGTAGCAAATTAACAGATATATTGACAGAATCAAACGGCATGGATTTACTTGACGTGGGAGTTAATGTGGAGGGCCATTCCTTACAAAAAAAGAAAAGACTAAAGCTGCTAATTTTGTAAACCTCGAAGATGTTTTGTGATAAAAACACCTTTCAAATATAAAAAATTTCATCTTGTACCCATGGCCCCATGTATATAGTCCTTGATATTGTCTGCATTTCCATATTTCCTTATTGAAAAGTCATTTGGTTCATACTCCTTCCTCTCCATCCAGTACAGTTGACTTAGACAGAAGAGGCATATGATCTAAAATTGCTAGGGGTCCTGTTTGTAAGTCTAAAGCCTCTAGGATTTTAACGCCTTAGTGGACTAAGCATGGGGGATTGGGTTCAGTTAATACTAATTAGTCAATTGAAATACCGTTTTCTGACTACAAGTCTAAAAACTGACCCAGTCAAAATGTAATCTTTGATTGATTAGACTCCTCCTAAATCAGCCTTCTCTTCACCTCCAAACCCGTGAGGCTTCAGAGTACACGCAGCGGAACAAGTGACACCAATACACACAAGTGAGACTTGCCTCATGCAGGAAACTTTCGCATACACACATACAGGAAAGCTCTCAACCTTCTATTCACAATGGCAAAGGATTACAAGTTTTCATTTTCAGTTGGATTTACCACATCACTTGGTATCTCAGCCACACCTTCACAAGGCATTTATAAGCCTACACTTAGGAAACTTTGTCAACCGTTAGATCAGCCACCTAGACACGTTTTCCCTACTCAAAACCTATCTAGCATTCCCAAGCCGCCACCTTGTAGCCCACTCTTGTCATGGGGCAGATTTTCCTCCTTAAAAATCTCCCCACTCCTTGGAACATGCTGCCACTACCAAGTAACCGCTCACTAATGCTCCAAGATAAGCCACAATCCAAATTTCAAGCATGCAATAACTCTAGCCAAGTCCAACCTCCCTTGGACGGCTCAAAAACCGTTTTCCCACATCCTAGACCCACTCCAGCACGTTTTCAGCCAAACTGCCACGTCCAGCCACGATCTGCCCAAGTGCGTTGCGCAGTTTGCATTCACGCTGCGCGCACACTGCGTGCGTTGCCTACCCGCTCTGCGCTGTGCATAACTGCCCTATGCGCTGCAGCCTTGCGCCCAGTGTTGTCAGCAACCTTCGCGCATCCTGCACGCAGCTCCTGTCGGCATCCTTTGTGCATCTTGCGCACACACTGCGCTCAGCTCCTGTCGACATCTCTTGGCAGATTCTGTCGACGGCTCTCGGAATCTGTCGACAGCTCCTATGTCATGCCCCCAGTCTACTATGCTGCTGCCATGTCTTGGCTGCAAAGTCCCAGCCCAAAACACATGTCTTCCGACCTTGTCTTTCTTCACAAGTGCACCTCCCATGCACCTTTGGCTTGCCTTGGCATGGTACAAAACATCAAAACCATGCCATGGCCTATGCCAACTTGTAAGGGTCTTACAAACTGCCCCCACCACAAGAGCCCGACGCCCTCGTCGGCTCAACTCCTTGGCAGTCTTCGTTCCTCTAAACATAACTTGGGCTTGCTTGAACCATTTCAACATTGCTCTCTTCCATGGACTCATCATCACTTGACTCAACTAGGATCACCTCTATCTCGGACTCTTCCATAGGCTCATCCTCGTCGTCACTTGAGATTACAATGATACCGGCCATGGACTCCACCCAAGGCTCACTTTCCTCCATTGGCTCCTCCTTAGCCTCGGAGTTTTCATTCCTTTTTTCAAACATAGCATTCCTCAAAATGCTATCGAGGGCTGAGCTCTCCCATGGCTCCTCTTTTGACTCACTTTCCGAAGGGTCTGAAACAGAAAAATCAGATTGGGCCCCATCGATCATCAACTCATCTGACTGCTCCACGGAGTCTCTGTGCCTTGTGGTCATGTAGGCTAACTCAAAATCAAACTCATCTAGCACATCGAAATAAATGCTAAACTCATCTAGAATGTTACCTGTACAGTACATGTGACTGTGCAACACACAAGTCCTCACCACAAACTTCCTATCCAGCAGATAGATCCTCCAAGTATCTAGACAAAGCTCCAATGCCACAAGCTGCATCTCTTCCAATCCACAATTCATATCCCAATTCGGAACCATGTCTTCAATGGCCTCTATCAGCATACCTCCATGCAACAGAGAAGCATTAATGAAAACCACTGAGGGCTCCATGGCAAACACATCCACAAACACCTCAATCACCTCCAACACCGGTTGCACAACCGCATCCTCTCCCAAAGGATCTTCCAGTGGGATAACTCGTAGTGAATTCAATAAAACCATTGGATTCACCTGGAGACTGTTGCCCTCTTCAGCACCTCCATTTCCCTTCGCAGCAATTGCATTCAAGTTCTACTTTCTCGGGCAGTCCTTCAAACAGTGAGGCCCTTGGCAAAGAAAACAACCGAAGATTTTCTTCTTATCCTTGATTTCTCCACCCTTGGCACCATCTTGAACAACCTTGGCCTCCTTTCCTTTGTCGACCGTCTTGGTGTCCAAATGTCTCTTCCCACCTTGCTCTTTCTTCCCACTAGAAGTGACTGCTGCTCTGTAGTCCATTAGTCTTTCTGCTGCAGCAATGACGGAGTTGAGGCTCCTGACATCCTGTCTCCTCAATTCCGACTGTGCCCAAGGCTACAAATTTGCGAGGAAGTTGAACAACTTGGCCTCCTCAGATATATTAGACACATCAAGCATCAAAGAACAGAAAGCCTTCACGTAGTCCTTCACTGAACCTACTTGCTTCAGATTCTTCAAAACCTCCCTTGCAAGCCATGCAACATTGCATGGAAGGAACTGGGCTTTCAATTCCTTCTTCAGCACAACCCACTCCTCAAAGGCAGGTCTGCCCCTACTAGAGACTTCTTGTGCACGAGTTCTCCACCATAACTTAGTATCCCCTGCCAAGTACATGCTCGTGACAGACACCCTCTCAGCATTTGGAATCTTAACAGCTTTGAAATACTGCTCCAAATCCCACAAGCAATTCTCCAACTATTTGGAGCTTCGTTCGCCAACATAAGTGATAGGATTTTTAGTACCTGTGAAAATATGGTTAAATTCACATAAAATACTTGCAAGAATACAAGGCTATTGTAGTATAGATGCTCATGCAAGGTTGTTCTCCTCAAGGACTATTCAGCAATTTAAGTAAAAACAATTTCCAAATAACTACTTAAAATAAAAGGTTGAGAAAGATGTTTAAGAAATTGGTTGATACTAAAAACGAATTTCAAACAAAAAACAAATACGATTGAAGGAAAAAAACAGTTTTAAATACCAATTTATAAAACCACTAGGGTTTCACCATCACCCCACAATCCTATGAATTTTTACCAATTACTTATGATTTGCACATGCCACTTTGAAGGTTAGGTTTTCCTAATTTATATTTTACTTGGAACCTCCAACATAGAATGTATATCCAACATGCAACCCGTCCGGACTTTCAGATCAAAACTGAGCATGAAAGACTCATTAAGTTCTGTGAAAACCTTTCGAAAAACCATGAAACCCTTAAGACGTGGTGTTCATATTAAGTGAAATTACAATTATTAATCACAAGAAGCCAGCGTCAATTTCAGAGAACCTTCTGACCAAATTGCATCTAATTACTTTTCTAAAGATCTTAATGGTGATCAGGCATTAAGACAATTAGATAGTTTAAAACAGTGATTAACAATTCAAAGTATGCATGCACTCAGTCATAAGCAATTAAATAAAAATCACATATTCATGCTCAGGTTCAAGGCTTCACCCTAGTAAAAGAAAATTAGTTACGCATATTCATAATTGAAATCCAAGAAAATATCATTAAGAAGAAAAGAACGGAAATACCTTAAAGTCGCGAAAACCCAAAACCCTAGCAATTGCTCTCCACAATGTCACGTTCAAAAGTGAAAAAGAAGATCCCAAAAATTGCTGTGAAAACCAACTTAAATACTTCCTAAAACCTAGCTGCCCAATCCCCACAAGGAAACTAGGTTAAAATAAAATAATACTATGATATAAAATCCAAATTGGATTAGGAGAATCTGCCCACAATCTGCCCAGCCACGTTTTGGCCTCAAATTTCCTCCAAATCTGGCCCAAGATAGCTTGTTTTGAAGATAAAAATATTCTGACCACTTCTCCATCTTTAGCTCCAAAAATGCAATAAAAGCCCAAAACGTCACTATTCCAGCCTGCACATCGCTCCTTTATTTATTCGCCAGGAAATTATCGCTTGGTGGAAGAAGCTGATCTTTTGATACCATCAAGCCAACTTACTCATGACCGTCCTCCAACTGGAATTACTCCACAATTCATCCGTTTGATTATGCTTTGATCCAGAACAAGTCGAAAGCCCTATATTGGAAATATAATTCAAAGTATCAAAATTCTTCCAAAATATTAAGCAAAATATACTAAGAATGGGGTTAAATATATAATATAAAATATACCCATCAAAATACCCCCAAACTTAGCTTTTTGCTTGTCCTCAAG